TTCGTGATTCAGCATGTCAAGGACGTGTCGTGCGTGTTGCTTTTATCTGCAAGTTGCGGATCGGACCCAGCGCGCATGTCATGACAATCGGCGCATATAGAAACCGACTCGCAACCGTCAGACGCATGAGCCAATGAAATACAACAACAAAGCGTACGAGGAAAACTGCCACAAACTCGGGAGGGCTTGAATGCCCGGACACTCTTGCGCTCGTTGCGCGCCTGTTGTTCTCAACATCACACGCGAATGAGCTCGCAGGTACACCGAATGTCGGAACACGGGAGCGCTTTCTCATGATAGGTTTTGGACGTGCGACCTCCATGGGCGCATGCCCCTCCTCAACCCTGGGCGGCCCCCTGGATACACCAGGCCCCGAGTGCGCGAGTGCCCTTGGATGCGCGAAGTCTTGGATGCACGATCAATCATCGCGCGTGCCCCTGAACGCGCGAAGTCCTGGATGCACGAGGGAATAGGGGGGCCGAGTGCGCGGGGCCCTTGATGCACGGGGTCTTGGAAACACGAGGTTTTGGATGCTCGGTGTCATGAATGCACGGCGCCATATAACAAAAACAATGTTCCTACCTATACGACCACCCTGCGGGTGATAAGGAGGTTGGGGGGGGAGGGGACCAGCAATGGGCAACAGTGGTGAATGTTGTTGTGACAATGCCAGTGGAGATAGTTGCGTTGCCGCTCGCTCTTGGGAGCGTTGGTGTCGAGTTGTTTACGTCACCCTTCGCTCTTTGGCGCCTTGGTACCATTCGGCACTCCCCCTGGGAACCTGCCCAACTTGCGCAACGGCAGCTAACGGCGCCATTTGGCCACGAAGTGGGCGCGTTGGGGGGGAACCCCGCGTGTCGAGTGCAACAGAAACCTTGAGCCAAAATCCGTGAATGGTACGATAAATGACGGTGGTCATCAGCATCATCATCAGCATCAGCATCAACGTATTCATCATGATCATCAGCATCAGCATCAGCATCATCATCATCATCATCATCATCAATGTCGTCATCAAAGTCACAAACATCAGCACCATGAAGGCCATCATCACTATCAGCATCGCACAATCGATCTCACATTCGGTCTCACTACCGATATCACAATGGATCTCGCAATCGACGTCATCATCATCATCATCAACATCATCATCATCATCATCATCATCATCATCATCATCGCCATCATCAACATCATCATCATCATCATCATTACCACCATCATCATCATCACCATCATCATCAGAATCATCATCATAATCAGCATCAACATCATCATCGGGACACCGACGGGACACGGACGGGACACCGGCGGGACACCGCGAAGCCCCGGCCGCTCGGAAGGGAATCATTTCGTCCGGCCGCGCCTCAGCCACACGGGACACCAGCGGGACACCGGCGGGACACCGCGGGGCCCCGGCCGCCCGGAAGGGAATCATTTCGTCCGGCCGCGCCTCAGCCACACGGGACACCAGCGGGACACCGGCGGGACACCGCGCCGCCCCGGACGCCCGGAAGGGAATCATTTCGTCCGGCCGCGCCTCAGCCACAGGAGACTTTCTCTCGCCCGCCCACGCAGCTTCGCCTCGCCCGCACGGCACGCACGAACACGAAACCGAAATCAATTTCCCAGTAGGGGGGCTCTCCGTTCAACTTCGATCTCACCCCCAACCTCCGATAACAGAAGCACGATGTGATAAAACAAAACAGTCCCAGCCAGAAGCGTTTTAAGAACATTTCGTGGAACTCTCAAAACGTTCTTAGACCATTGTTTGGTAGGACTATACACACACCAAGACGCGTCGCCACTGCTTAATACGTGTGCACGCGCATGGTCTGCCCGCCCGGCTGGCCGGCGCGCGCTTTTGCTCGAGTAACCATACACACTTGCGGATAGTCCCCCCTTGCATGACCCATGCCGTACCAACAATGCGCAAGGGGAAAAAATGGAGGGTTGCAGAAATGGGCGAAGGGAGTGTTACTAATGACTTCACCATCCTCATCACCATCACCGTCATCACCATCACCATCACTGTCATCAGCATCACCATCATCACCATCAGCATCCTCATCAGCAGCAGCGCCAGCAAAAGCAGCAACATCGCGCACGCCTCACGAGGGTGGGTCCAGCCCCTGCGTGCCAGACGAACCTCAGAGCTACATGGTGTGTCCTGTGCGAAAACTCTGAGCGTGGTGCAAACTGAACTATGCCCATCGCAGGGCGAGGTGGAGAGGGTGTGGACGAATGAAGCAAATAAATGGAATTGGAGCAACCGGGCGGCCAGCAGTGGTTATTCTGTATTACGCGTGAACACACCGAGCAACCCCCTCCAGGAGCAGGTTCGTGTCGTGACGACTTGCGCGTTGTCTTCTGGCTCCGCGTGGATCGTTTCAACTTGAACGATCGCGGATTTCCGATAGCCGATCGTTCGATATCGACCGATTCTGGGCCACCGGCGGCCTTGGCGGCCTTCAACCTTGAACGCCCGCGTGGGGATCGCCGCCGCGTCGACATGACACGAACCAACCGCACCATCCTGCCAGGGATGGGCGGTCCAAGCGGGCCGGGGGCGCCAAAGGGCAGGAGAAAGTCTCGGCCCGCGGACCGCACCAGGCTTGAAGCAGGTTCGCGGCCCGCGGCCCAGTCGAAGGCCACAGCCCCCCTCCCCCCCACACAAGACTTTCGCCCTCCCCGCCAGACGGTATGAGCACGAAGGGAGCGGATCCTAGAAAAGAGGGGCCCCTCTTTGTCCCCTTCCGCCGGGCAGCACAGCCTGCCCGGGACCGGCGTGGCGGCGTGTAGGGCTTCGGCTAGAGAGCCGTAGGAATGCCAAGACGGTCGGCCCCTCAATTCGGGGGCTCCGACTCGGAGTTCTGAACACCCGTTTCCCCAGGACGGTTCTTTGTCCCGCTCTGCTTTCGCCTACCCATGGAGATGGGATCTGGATCTTCTTCCGCCGCTCCGAGGCAAGAACTGGTCCTGGGGAAAGCCCAAGGTTTGGGATTGTGGGGGAACGACAGGGGGGGGCACTGGCGCAGGGGAGGAAACATCGCCGTGGAATCGGCGATGCATCGCCGATAAACGGGCGATCGGCACTCCATGGCGAAACAACACGCGCGGTTCGTGATGAATGAACGATTAGGGGCCGATGCTTCCCCCCAAACCCAGGGCCAGCCCCCCCTCCCTGTCGCTGCTCCACCAAAAGACCCCGTCTTCAGAACCCCCTCCTGGACGCCCGAGAGATCCGGGGTAACTCCGGTCCCGGGCCACTCCGGCTTGGGCCCCCGAGGCACGAACAAGGAGCTAGACCACCTCCAACCCTGATGACTCGTGGTACAGAGCTCAAACGTCCAGCTGCTCGATTTTTTCGACGCGTGGGCCCCAGCCACCAATTTTGCATCCCGGGTCGTTTTTTGACGCTCCCGAAGGCCAGCGAAGGCCCCCAGAGGCCGAAAACGGCCAAAAACCGCCCGCTCCAATCCCACCAGCCCTCTGGGCGTGAGTGGTTTAGAAAGACCCCTCTGTCAACTTCCTTTTTTCCCCTTCGGGGGGGGGGGCGATTACTGCTCCTTGTTAAAAAAACACCCCCTCCCCAGGCGACTGGGGACCAACCAGGCACCATCCGTTCGGGCCAAAACTCATGAGTCCTGTTCGTGAGACCCGCGAACACTTCGTATTGTTTTTGGCAAGGACGGCGGGGGTGTCAGCATATTCCCTGCTGTGCGCAAGGGTACCATCCCTGATACAACCAAAACAACAGGCACCTCGCAGCTAAATCTGGATAGTGCGCGGCCATCCTGCGATCACTGTCGAATGGTTTTTGGCAAGGGCGGCGGGGGTGGCGGCGCGCGTGTGCAGGCCCAACTAACAATGATGGGCATCGGTTTTCCACAAGGATAGCGGGGGCCGACATATTTCCCGATGTGCGCTGTCACGTGCGCAAGCGCACCTGACGCACTTTGCGCGTGCCCCGAACGCGGCGCGCCTGGCGCGGCTGGAGTGCGCGGCGCACTGGGCGCACTCGGAGCTGGCGCACCAGGCGTGCCTGGCACGTTCGGGCCCCAAGGGGGCCTGGAGCGCGTGGCGCACTTCGCCCAAACGTCGCGCACCCGGGGTCGGCTTTGCCCCCCAGTAGCTGCCCATCCAAGGACGACCGCTGAACATTCTCAGCCTCAGGTACTACGTATGCGCAAGGAGGGCGGGTCGGAGTGAACTGAACGGCTTGCGGGTGGGTGGGCGCCCTGACCCTCCCCCTACCGCCTCCCCCTGGGGTTGGAGGGGTGGGGGGGGGCGCGGGTCGTTGGAGCGTCTGGGATGGGTTGGTGGGGACGCGCGTTTTGTTCGCAAGCGCAAGCGGGAGAACCGCGCGCCATCAGGAATATGTCAAGGAGCAACAAACTAGATTACAGCGGCCAGGGACGCGGCCAAACGCGTGCAGCGAGCGAGCAGCCGAAAATTGCAAACTACGCACCTGGGCTCAACCGCCGCTCAGAAGTCGAGAACAACCGGGCCCTAGTGGCGAAGGGCTCGACAATGCCCAACTGCGACGACGTCACCCTCGACGAACTTCTCCTCGGCTACGACACTGCGTTTGCCGAATGTGGAGCCATGACACCACGCAGTCGTCAGGAACGATATCGCGTGACCACATCACGTAGGCGGGCGAACATCCAAATAAGCCAACCGGAATCCTGCATCCGGAGGGACCCCAGTCGGCGATACGTGCCGTCCGAGCAAGCGCCGCATCACGGACCATGGCCCCCGAGCGGAACCAGCGCAGAGCGACGGGTGCCGAGGCCACGGTTGCACTGTGGTGGACCCGAACACCTGTTGCGGGGGGACAGCCGCAGGGAAAGGGACGGCCTGATGTCTGCCGGCACTGGCCCCAGCGTCCGGGGGGGAGGCTGGTGGGGACACGCGAAGCGTGAATTCTTTGTGGAACGTCGGATCTCAGGGTTCCCCATCCACGGGCGGAGGGCTTCGCGTCCGCCCGTCGCGTCCGCGCGAGGGTCACGACGAGCCCCGCCCAGAGCAGCAACAGGAACGCGGCGGACAGGAGGGCCCTCTGCTCCTGCGCGCCGCGGCCGCCCCTCCGCCCCCCCGCCTGCAGAATTAGAGGAACGAGCAGTGCCATAAGCACAAAAACTCAGAGGTATCGGGGGCGGCCAAGAGGGGGGCGTCCAGGAGGGGGGGGCGCAACTCATAGCCGGCGGCATGTGCTTGGCCCAAGGGGGGGGAGGGGGCCAGGAACGTATTGAAATAAGAAGAGGCGCCATCAAAACTGGGCAGATATCACGGCCCCCGCCATGATATCCCCCCCCCGCTCGTTGTCACACCCCTCTTGGCCGCCCCCGAGAATCGGGGCGCTGCGTGATCGACCGCCTGGGCCGAGAGCTCTTGGAGCTCAGGCAGTCTTCAGGTGTCCTCGATGGGTGGCGGCATGCGAACCCTACCCCGCCAACCATCGACTCTCCCAATGTGAGCCAGGGACAGGGTTCGGCTCTCGCCACGTATTCGACGAACTCCGAATCCTACCCCCGCTGCCCGATCAGCGAGTGGCCTGAACCGTTGATCGGCGAGGGCAGGGTTCGGATTCCGCCGCCGACCCCAGCTGGGCTCGGACTCCGCGGTCCCGCCTTCACATGGCCAATGCCTTCTCCAATCCGCTCTGGGGGGTGCCGCCCGCTAACCTGTGGAAACTTCGCACAACGCACGCTAAGAGGAACAAAAAACGGTACACACGTAAACTCAAACTTTTGACCTGGATCCGGGCTGGACCCCCCTATCTGGCGCGCGGAGCGCGCCAAGGGCGGCCCCGGAGGCGCCGCCAGGGGGTCCCATCGCAGATCCAAGAAAAGGCGCGCGGACCGCCCAAAAAATGTGCCCGCGCCGTTGCTTCTCCTTCGACTGCTGGCGCCGGAGGCTGCCCGCACCGCGCGCGAAGTGCGGCGCGCTCGCGGCCGCCCCGCCCTCCTCCAGACAAGACACGACGCGCACTGCCAGCCGGCTGGCCGTCCCAGAGCGGGGCGTGGCGGGGCCTCGGCCTCGAAATGCTCGCAGTTCTCACGACTACCAGCTCCTTGAATCTCGCATAATACGCCTCTCTTGAACATCCCTTGAAAATCCGTCGACTACCCCGCCCCCCTCGTCCCTGGAAGATCCGCGCGCGATTCGCTGTGCTGCGCCGCGGCTCTGTTGCTGCCCGACGCCTCGCCACCGAGGAAGGGGGAGCAAGACCAGACAGCTAAGATGAAGCCAGGACGAGGACAACTTCGGGTGAGGATCAATCGAGTATCTCTGCGAACTCGCGGCTCTGGACGATGCCTCGGGCGCCGTCGCGTTCTCAGAGCGTTCTGGAGCGCTCTGGAACGGATTTATCCTAGTCTCGGCCCCGTCCCAATAGCATCGAATCGAAAGATCGGACCAGACCGGAGCGCGTCGGATCGCGCCGAATCGGCACACGGTCGAGGTCGAATCGGATCGGCGTCACCAGGATGCAGAACGGCACCACGCACATACGTCGAGTCGGATCGGCTCGTCGGAAAATCGAAATCGAGTCGGATCGAGCTGGCTGCAATAGACGTCGAATCGGGTCGATCGAATCGAGGATCGGATCGTCGGATAATCGAAATCGAGTAGGATCGAGCTGGCTGGAACCGACATCTAACCGGGCCGATCGGATCGAGGTGGGCCCTGGGAAGGGTCCGGGGGGGAGGGCAGGTCAGGCAAGCCAGGACGCCGCAGCGCGTGGGCAAAAGTGGGGGAGGCGACCAGCCTGCAAGCAGGCAGAATTACTGCCTTACTCGGCAATCGCGGATGTGACCGCAGGCGCCCGCAGGGCGGCATTGCAAGCACGCCTCTGCAACAACGTCTCCCGCGGAAGGTCAAGACTTCCGGACCCTTCTCAGGCCTCCAGATGCCTGCAGAGACCTCCAGAGACCCCGGGGAACCACTGGCTACTCATCTCCACTTGCGCGCTCGGCTATGGACCCATTGTCAGCAATCCGCCTTCGGCGGTCTCGGCGGTCTGCCGCACGAGAGCTGGATCAACAATTGCATGTAACAAGGGCCTCATGATCCACCGCCGAGATACGGGCAGTAAGGATGCGATGAAGACCCTTGGAAGTCCACGTTGAAGTCGTCGTCCTGAAATCATGCGGGAAAATCCCGAGTAGCGGGCAACCAGAACTGACTGGCAACCCTGACGAAGCAATGCATCCTTGCTGCCTTGTTTGGCTGCAGGGGGGCGCATGGGGGCGAGGTGGGTGGAGTCCAGGAGCGACCAGACACCCTCCAATGGCCAAAAAGAAAAACACAAACCACTACGGCTTCTTCCTGTCGTGTCGACGTGGACGTTGGCTAATGACGCCCCGTAGATCCATCAATCTTGAGCGGTCTCCAGTCCAACAGCGGAACTCGTTTCAAAGCTGGCATGGTTCAGGCCACCAGGAGCCATCGACCTTGAACGACTGCGCTGGCGTCGCCTCCACGTCAATGCGACACTAACCTGCCGTAGAGAATCTACCGATCCGCATCGGTTTGGGTCCATGAAGGGTGCTCATAACTACTTCTGGGCGCCCTGCCTTTGCCAGGGAACAAGAGGCAACGTTGGGTTCAGGAGAGTTGCTCGAGTGCTATCAGGGATGCCTGTGCGCTGACCTGACCCAATGCGGCCGTGGAACTGCCGCCTCAAGGCCACAACCGGTCAATCGGAGGCCGCCCAAACGAGGTCCGAGTAGATGGGGTCGAATAATCTCGTCGCATCATCGATGAATCAGCGACGTCGGTGTAGAGAAGATCGTGCTCCGCCACGAGCCGCATCGCCGATGCATCGGCAATGCGGCGCGATCCACCTACAGTGCGGGGGCGGCCGCAAGAACCCCCTGCAAGAAACCCAACCCTGAAAACCCACGCGCGAGGGGCACCTGAGGGGAAACCCTGAGCACCAGGAACGCAGCAACTTCTTGAGCGGCTGCGGGAAGTCACCGCGCAGCTCGCGGAGCGAAGAAGTCCAGCATACCCTGACGAACAACCTATGGCTTCTTGATGCGCGCCCCCACAGTACCCCATCCACTTCGGCCAAATTTAAGCGGCCTGGACCTCGGCCGAGTCGAACGGTTGCCAGACACTGTGTCTGTCTCCGATGTGGGGTGGCCGAGAGTCCGTGGCTCCTGGGCCGCGTGCTCCTCCGGGGACATCTTGCCACGAGGGGCGGTCCGCGTCGCTCCAGACCTCGGAGGAGGGAGAAGGATGATCGGAATTCCTGACTCGGCTACCCCCACTTCGACCCTGCCTCCCTCTTGGAAGGCCGTCCCCCCGCTGGCGTCGGTTCGAACTTTCTTCCGAAATGACCCCGTGCGCTCAACCAGCTGCTGCTGCGACTTCCTAGAGGAAACAAGAAAATATCGACACCACGCGGGTCCCGAACGTGAGCCCGCCTCGCCAAATGCGCAGTGGACCACGGGGGTGCACAAAACAACTGAGATTTCCAAGGTGGAAATCCCAAGCATGAGGCACATACGGGTACCCTTCCGAAGCTACGGTTGCTCTCAACCCTCCTGCCAACGTTCTTTCCCAGGGGACGATGCTCCCGCACTGATGACGGTGCCCACGAAATGCGCCAAGCAAACCCAGACTCATGCGAAGACCAACCTGCATAACTAGACGAGGCCGCGCGCGAGACCTTGGCTTGTGAAGCGCTAGCGGTGAAGCGTCATCAGGAGGACGACGAAGACGAACAGGAAGAGAGAGGGTAGGGAGGGGATGAGGAGGACAAGGGCCCGCATTTAGGTCTCAAGAGGGCCCCAAGAAGCCTCATCCTTCTCTTCCTCCTCATCCTCCTTACCCCTTGGACGGTGAAAGTGAGGATTTGGCGCATGGTCCCGGCAATGGTGCCTCTATGGGCCACCCATGTGCGATACATCCTCGATTGCTGTGTTCGGCGGGGGAACCAAGTCAAGCTCCCCGCCTGCACCCACGCGCGAGACTTGAGGGTAAACGAAGCAAGGAGGAGGGGGGCTCGGGGAATGCGACGAAAGCAACGTGCGCTGAGGGCGCAAAAAGACACGGTTTGAATAAACGAAGGCGGTGAAGTGAGTGTCAAAATCTGCCCAGCCAATCTGGCATGCGGAGCACTGCGCCTCAGTTTTAGGGACCTTGATGGCCCAGGCAGAACGTGAATTCACATGGTGGGGAAAAACAGAATGTGCATTCACATTTGGGGGGCAAAGATTGTGAAATTATATTTTGGAGAAAAGGAAAGTGTACATTCAGATGTTGGAACCTGGTAAAATAATATGTATGGAAAGGGCCAGAATGTGCATTCACATTGTGGGAAACAGGAAAATGTGAATTAACATTTTGGAAAAAAGGGAAATGTGAATTCACATATTGGGAGAATCGCGACATTCCGAATCTGTCTTGGGGGTCGACAAAACATCGTTTGGGAACATACACGGTCATCAATCGCACAATCAAGACACACTTGCACTCCACTTCGCCGCCCCACGCGCGATATGCAAGAACGCCCGCACGCATGAACGATAATGGATGGACGGCGCGTTTGCCCGCGCGGGCAACGCGCGGGCACGAACGACTGGCCCTCCATGACTGCCAACACTGGATGCCAATCATATCCGATCACATACATGAGCGATACATTGAGCATACATGGGCCATTCGGCCCCCATTCAAGACCCCCTGTTGCAGCCCCCTTCTTTCACCCTCCAAATCCTCCTACTCCCTCTGTGCCGGCTGTACTCCTCAGACACCTGCCAGGCCGCGATCTGCCCAGGACTCCGAGGCGAATCTGGCCGCGACGGCCAGAGCCCCCCCCGCCCAACCCTGGACCCAGAGAGGGCGAACACGAAGAAGGAAACTGGAAGGGACGAGGGTCTCCTCCTCCTCCTCCTCCTCGCAGGCCTCCTCCTCCTCCCCCTCACTCCCCAGTCGTTCTGGCCCAGGCAGTTTGGACTTGCAGCATCAAACTTCAGAACGGCTGTGCTGTTGCGGGCTGGGGTGGCTCGTTCCCGGATCTCTTCTCAGGTCAGAGGACCTCATCCCGTATCTTTCATGTGTGAGCTTCTGCTGGAGCATCCTCTCACCACGCCTTGTCCAGAATCATGGCGGTAGGCGGCGTTGGTGGCAAGGGACGTTCTTCGTGGGCCCCTTGGCACTCGCGCTGGGTGGGCGTCTTCTAGACTGGAAGCGGGTAAAGGCGTTCAGTCAGGATCCAGTGCACCGTGGAAGGTCGAGTCCAGCATTTGGCCGCCCCGTGGTGATGGTCCTTCCCAGGGTCGTTGGAGTTGTGAGTGGTGCGGTTGCGAAAGTAACGAGCGGTTGCACACATTTTGTAAACATTGTAGGGCTCGAAGAAATGCACCTTCCCTGTCCTACTCTGCTCGGGAAGCTTGCTCGCGGGGCTCACAGTTGGACCTAGGACACAATACCATTCTTCAAGAGCATAAGACCCTCCGCCGGCAAACACCCCAGAACATCCTAGGGTACCCTCCCCAGGATACACAAGAGCTTCCAACAGACACGAAGAACAGTAGGGTACCATCCCCAAACCGACCTCGATCTTACACCTCGGTCCGACTGTACTCTGTTCGGGAAGCTGGCTCGCAGGGCATTGTTCCAGCCGAAGGCAAGGCCACAAATGGCGGAGGACGGCAAGCACTCCGGGCGGCGCGTGTCCCTGGCCCCACAGGACCACCAGCAGCTGCTGCAAAGCGTGGCAGCCCTCACCATCAGCGAGCTCGAGGCCTTCGTCACCCTGCATGAGACGGTTGGCAACACTACGGAGGCACACTGCCAATCTGGACTGGTTTGAGAACCAGAACTAGTGGAACTAGTCAATGACCGTGGATGTGGAGGTGCTGGGCACCTGTTACGAGAAACTGGCTCAGAATGTCTCCAACGTCAACTCGATCCCTGCTGGTGGTGCTGCTGGGGCTCCAGCTATTTATTTGGAAGCGTTGCTCAAGGGAAAGGTACACGCTTTCTCCATTGACTTCGGTGATATATTCAAGCTGGAGGCGGCTGACGAAGGCGACACGACCACAGCTGAGGATTTTCAGTAGGTGGAGACACACAGGAACACTTTCTGTATAAGACTGCACGAGATGGCTAAGAAGCTGCTTACAGAAATTGCTGGAATCGCTCCTGCTAAAGAGGCTCGGGCAGCTCAAGCGACACGGCTGTGCAAGAAGAAAAGGAACGATAATAACGGCGGCGCGGTGGTGGCAGACGTTCCTGTACCTCGTGGCGATGGTCCTGCCGCTGAATCTCCTGATGCCCCAGCCGCCACCGAGCCTCCCGGCTGAGGGTCGGCAGGGTCAGGGGACCCTCCCAGCCAGGCGACAGGGGAGGCCTTGCTGGCGAGTGTTCGCACATAGGCAGCCAGAACTACGGCAGCACAAGGAGCCCCCCCATTTCCGCAGAAACCACCACTGGGCTTTGAGGTTTGTTGTGAGCTTCGGTTTCTGGCTCGGGGGGGGGGGCACAATGTTCTAATTTTCCAATCAGCCTGCCTAGTCGCTACAAGCTGGATGAAGGGGGGCAACATAAATCACACTGTCGTCCGCTTGGAGGGTGGCACGAATACGGTTGAGGTGAGGGGAGCTGCTGGCACGTAGTGGCATCCTGCTGACACGTGGTGGCATTCGCGCTACCCCTCCCTCACCCCTACCCATGAGACCCTTGAGAACGACAAGGATAATTCAAAACCAATCCTCTTGGCAAGTCCTCTGGGTGGAGGCTCGTCTTTGGTTCATCTGGTCGGGCCAGGCCCTGACCAGAAGATCTGGGGCATGATGTATCTCGTCAGGGAGCCTGACTGCTTCGTCGAAGCGGTTCTCATGTCATAACCAGGCATCCTGCTCAGTCCCCTCAGCCTGGGAGAAAGCATTCCATCTCTACAGCTGCCGCCCTGAATCACTCCGGGAGCCCGCCAAGTCCCCCCTGGAGGAATTTCCTCTGGAGCTAGAGACCCTCAATGCGAATGCGTGGTCCTCCATCAAGGAGTGGCGTCCTCACTGCTCTGCTAAAGTTGAGCTCATCCACGCGCAAGTTCCTTGACGGGGGCTTCATGAGCAGGGCCTTCTGGTCGTCCTTCATGGTTGGAAGCCTCTGTGGATCCCAAGGGCCACGGGAAAAAGTGGAAGCCTCTGTTGAATGGCCTGTTTGCCAGGTCTTGGAAGGGCCTGCTTGGGGCCCCCGTAAGGTGTGTATGTGTTTTGCCTCACAGGGCCATCGCCGGTATTGCTGACACCCCTCATGGTCAGTCCATCCCCCCCTCCTCCCTCTACATCAAGGAATCGCCAGGCCCCAGCGAGCTCAATCTGGATATCGTAGGAGTTTCGGGGGCCTCTATGTCAGGTGTGCGGGATGCCTTACGTGAACGGAAGCGATATCAACCTTGAGCCTGGAGCGTTGCACGAGTACGAATTCATGCACAACTTTCGGGCCCAGCTGGTGGCGGCAGACGGTGCGACTTGGTTTTGGACAAATGGCCCTCGCGTGTGCGACTTCTTCGTCAGTCTCGGGTGGCCCCGCCAAAACCGTGAGCTTACTTGCCGCCGCCATAGACTCTGCCACCTTCCACCCTCGCGTCCCACTGAGGCTTTTTTTGCTGGGCGTTGATCAGCTCCACGTGCTGACTGCCCCAAATCCCCGTGGATCACCCGATCGGTCCGTCTCCCGATCCCCCGTCGTACCAAAGGTGACTTTACTGGACAGGGCCCTGGTTAGGGCCCACAAAGGGGTAGTTCGCTGTTCTGGATGAGTCGTTCCGTGCGGCCTACAATGCCTCGGATAAGGAGTTCTGAACTATCGTGGGTATCAAGCTTTCTCGATATGGAGCCAATGGGAAGGAGATTCTCTCTGCTGCCGCCCTGCTCTGGGGCGTGATCGGAGAGCTCCCCAATATCCAGTGCTCCGCGCATTGATATGGCTGCACAAGCCCTCATCCAATACACTGAGGCCTCATGTCCTCCACAAGATGCGCCTTTTGTTGCGCTGTGTCGCGCCTGGCGCGCCTTGCCCGAGTCGGCGTCGGCGCGCCAAGTTGAGCGCGCAGAGATTATATCAGCATGCTGCCTTTGCGGTCAAGGCCTGGTCGGAGGCCCCTTCGGCTGAGGTGGCCCACTTCACTGAGATGGCAGCGCGCGCTCCACCCTTTTTTGCGGGCAACAACGCCAAAGTTGGGTGGCATGGTTCCGTGAAGGCATCCACCGAGAGGCTCTTGGCAGGATGGCGTCTGATCCCCAGGAGCTTCTCAGGGCCGAGCGCGGCAACAAAACCTCTCTGCCGAACGAGCGTGTGAAGCTGACCCCGCCCCCGAAGATGGAGGGGGAGACTAATCGCGCCGTCTCCAGGTCCTTCTC